CTCACCAATTCCTTTGGCAGTTATCAGCTCTTTAAGCTTGGTCAGATCTTCAAAGTTTTTAAGAAGGAAGACATGTGTCCTGAAGGGTTCGGAAGCAATGCTTCGCAGCTCCTGTTCATCCACACTGTCTGTCACGCCAATAGTATAGATCTCGAAATCACAGCTGTCACGCAATATCATGGCATCAGAGGCGGGGTCACCGCCGATATTGGATCTGCCGTCTGTGATTAGGAACAGCGCTTTCTTGCTGCGCTCGCGGGTCTCAGGCACAATTTCTTCAATGGTCTTATTCAGTGCAAGACGTGTAGCGGTTCCTCCGGCAATAAAGTTCAAGTTTTCTAAATCATTAAGAAAGACAAAGTTAGGTTTGACACCTTCAGAATGGAGCGAAGTGACCTGTAGGTTATTCATTTTCTCTTTCTGTTGTTATAGTTCGGTAATTCAGTGCACGGGACACGCCCAACTCAGTTTAGTGGGGCACCATGATGGCGTCAATACAGAGGAAGAATTCGCAACTTTACACAGAAAATTCCCCCATCAGCACATCAGCAGGCTAAAACTCGCCCTCATTAGGGAAGGGAATTGAAAATATTTTTTCTTAAGTTCAGTCGTGTGTAGTTAAAATCAAGCAAGTCGCTGTGTGCAAATGAAATACACCAACTGTAGCTTAATCAACGTCAAACGCCCTGTCAGCCTCCAATAATTTAAACATACCTGGCTATTGTAACTTCATTCGTTGTATATATATATTGGCACATATAGACGGTTAAAAGTGCTTCCTGAGCCAACAAAGATGCGAACCAAAAGGATCACGAGGATTGACAGTCCCGATTCGGTGAATAATAAAAACTGGTTAAAAAGAGACCGAAAATGGACAACTCTTGGTTTAAAAAGATAAAAAATGTATAAAAATTTATAAAACGTTTCGGTCTCTCGACCTTCGTCAGCTACCCTGATACATATATTAGATATATATATTGGTATCCACTCTGAGAGGGGGTTTCACACGAAGCTGCAGTGGTGTAACATTTTGACAAATGACCTCGATTTTACCATACTTCTTTATTAGTCTAACTGCTGACTACTAGTGGAGGCGCGGTGGCCTCATGATTAGTTCGTTCGACTCCGGATCGAGCGGTCCGTGTTCGAACCCTGGCGGGGTACAGTGTGTTGTGTTCTTGGGCAAGACACTTTACTCTCACAGTGCCACACTCTCCACCCAGGTGTTTAAATGGGTACCGGGGAATTTAATGCTGGGGGTTAACCCTGCGATGCTCTAGCATCCCATCCAGGAGGAGGTGGGGCGGGGGTGTAGAAATACTCCTAATCGCTTCATGCTATAGAAAACCGGGATAAGCTCTGGCCTGATGAGCCACTTGGCTCATATGCAGAATTAACGTTACCTACAGTCTAACAATGCAGAAGACCTGACTTACCAAGAGTTGCAATAGCCTCGTTTTTGTTGGGCATGGCATTTGTTTTCAGATTGAAAATAACTTTGGCTGTCGAGCTGAATGTAACAACAGCAACTCTTGTCCCCATTGCAGAGTTGGATATTCCAAACTCGTCGATGATCGTTTTGGCGAAAGCGATTCCTTTTTGGAAGTTCTTATTTCCGACGCTTGCCGAGCTGTCGAGCACAAACACCAGATCGAGGCCACCAGCACCGGAGGATAAACCTGCCCGAGCCAAGCTGTCAGTTGTCGTCCAACTCAGTTTGTCGATGAAATGTTTACGCAGGTTTTCTGCAACCTTCTTCAGACTTCTCAAAGGATCTGGAGAAAAAGCGTCGTCAATGACTCATTTGCCTCAGGAAATAGCCGCTAACAATACGAAAATATCGAAAAATTGATTTGTATTACGGTTTAAGCGATTTTTTGGTCATGCAAGAATAAGCAAAGCTAAGGCAAGTGAATGAAAATTAAGCAAAAGCTAAAATAAAAGTTAAACGAGATGCTAACAAGAAATTATAAGCAAATCAAAACAATATTAGTGTCTTGGACTGACTGACTGACTGACTGACCGACTGACTGACCGCCTGCTTGCCTGACTGACTGACTGACTGACTGACTGACTCATTGACTCACTGACTCACTGACTCACTGACTCACTGACTCACTGACTCACTGACTCACTGACTCACTGACTCACTGACTCACTAACTCACTGACTCACTGACTCCCTGATTAATTGACTGACTTCACGGATCAATATTTGCAAAACTGGCTTGAAACCCAGAATAGGTCATCAACAAGTTCAAGGGAGAAATTTACACAAAAGGAGGTTAAAAATAATTATCAATTTGAAAAGTGCATGACATTAATTACAAAGCCAGCACACAGTATTAGTCTGACACGGGTTTAGATTAGGATGTCATGCATTGCGAAGACAAACTGGCAAATATGAAAATACAGAGGAGCCTGCATTAATCCCAGTAGAAGAGCGAACATGTTTGGTATGCAAAGAAAATTGCATAGAACATGAACAGCATCTCTTTGGGGTAAACCACTTTAAGACGTGAACTGCATTCACATATTTAAACGCAGATACTTGTTATACCAGTTTAAGTGATAACGACAGGACCGAGTATTTACTTAGAGCAGACAATAAAGTTACATCTAAAATAACAGGTAAATATATCCATGTTTCGAAAAAGAAAAGAGATTCTTAATTCACAAATGTAATAAGCGCTATGAGTTTTCTAATTAATTGTTTACGGATATGGTAAATGTTATTTTGTATTTTTATTAGTTAATGTAACCAGACCAACACCTCCCTTTGGAAAGTAAGGCGCAATAAAGATATACTATTACTGACTCACTGGCTCACTGACTGACCGACTGACTGACTGACTGACTGACTGACTGACTGACTGACTGACTGACTGACTGACCGTCCGGCTGACCGCCGGCTGACCGGCTGACTAAACTGCTGACTGACTGACTGACGGACGGATGGACGGACTGAATTACTGATTGATCGACAAGCTGGCTGGCTGGCTGAATGACTGAATGGCAGTTCTAAGACATACGTCATTTATACGCACAAAGACTTAAATGGAGTTACCTATTTTCCGGCAGGTCGGTGTAGTGCCATTCCATTGTACGGTCTTACACGCACGACACTTAGGAACGCATCTGAGTGCACCAAGGCCGACAAGTTCATATCCTTCATTACAGGAGAAACGAACTTGAGTTCCTTCTAGAAACAAACTTCCATCACGGCGACCATTTTTCGGGCTACCTGGATCTTTGCATTTCGTTTCTGAATAAAAGCAACATTAAAAGATGGTTATCAGGTTTATTAACAGTCAAATGCCATATCAAATGTCAGCGTTTTTATCTTCGTTTTGGATTCCAGTCACAGAGAGAAGTTTGACTACTATTCAAAAGTAAATTATTGCCTTTGGTAACTTTTTCCAACATGGAAATCGTAACTGTTTAAAACTGCACGCCCAAGATCAGTCTAAAAAGTTGAAAGAATCTGGGACACGATGACAAAACGAGACCTTTATGCATTAACCGAGAGGACATAAAAAAAAATCGATGCTAAGCGGAGAGAATATGAAGTAACCGATATCTCAATTTTAACAACGAAGGTGGCTCCATAAGGTTATCGTTTGTAGTGTTGCCCGTGTTAGCGTTTTATTTCGAAAGTTGTTTTTGGGGTTTGGTTTTACTCCTAGTTCATAATTCAGAATTAGTAGACTATGACTATATTTAGTTACATTGCCTGTGAAAATAATCACTCCTCTATGCAAAATTAACCTTTAATCTACATGAATGAAGAGACTAGATATTTCTTAAATAAGGTCTTTCAGTTACTTTTTGTACAACGGGGTAGCTTTGTCGGCGACCACTTTCCATCTTTAGTGCACATCAGCTCAGCATTGCCTCTGAGACGGTACTTGCCGTTACAAACGTACTTGACAATTGAACCAACAGTGAATTCATCTTTTTGAGGCTCAAAGTAACCCTGCCTTATACCGTCGGGTCTTTTACATACTGAGCGTCTTACTCCTGTTGTCAGAAAGACGAAAAACAATTCCAGTTTTAGAAAGCTCTTAAACGTGTAAGCTATTGAAGTCAGTAAGTCCAAACCAGTTCAAATATCAAACTATCTTTCACGCAGTTCAAGCTACGGAACTAAGCTAGATCTACATTGTATATGGATGTGTTAAAATGTGTGAGTAAAATTTCCGAGCATTAATACAGTTTCGTACCATATATAAAGAATAGCCTCCCTTTAATTGGCGCCAAAACATGCTCGGATATTTGTGTGCGAACATTATTTGTTCCGATCGAGAGCGTAGCTCGAGGAAAACTGTGAGCTTCGAAGAACAGATAATTTCCAAGGACAAATATCACGCATTTTTTCAAAGTTAAAAGGAGGCTATTGTGTTCATCATATTTCAAATATTATTCGCAACACGCGGGATCTTTTCAAAATTGGCGAATATCACTAAGATATTTCACACTTTTGGCTAGGGCATACTCAGCCACGAGACGCTTTTAAACCAATCGCGTGCGAGCGAAAATATTATTGTATATTATTATGGCTTTACGTGCCAGCCGTGCGTGTTCTCAGATGGTGCGTGTCCAGAGATGTGTTCCTTACCCCTTTCTTTCTTGTGGCGTAATTTTTCTTGGGTGCAGACTATCTTGTCATTAAGCACTTTCACAGAATATATATCTGTGTCTGGATTTATGGAAACAGTGTTAAAGAAATCACACCCTGCTGAAGCGGTTGTTCTCGTCAGAGAAAGTAGACGATATAAAAATTACAAGGAATGTCAGTCTTTTTTCCTTCACTCTCTTATCTCCCCTTTCTTGATCTTCTTTTTATTTTGTTATTTTATGTTATTTTTCGTCGCTTGGAGTGATTTTAAGGCCTTCAGAAGTCGTGAAATTAAGGTGCGTATGGGTGATTTGGTGCAAAATACTGACACGGTTTTCATAAATCCAGTTATATATGTATCGTGACAACTTTGCACAGCTCACCTGATTGACACGTGGGAGGCTTTCCATTCCACTTGCCATTGACACACCTGATAATGCGACTTCCAATCATGATCAGTGTCTTGTAACCTCTATTACACGTGTAAAAACCGTATGAATTTCGTAACCTGACTGTTCCATTGACTATGCTTGGTGGATCAGGACAATCCCCAGTCCGTTTTCCACAAGTCTCACCAGTAAATCCACGAGCACAGGTGCATGTGAAGGCATCGATCCCGTTTGTACATGTTCCGCCATTTTGACATGGAGTAGAGTCACAACGGTTGTGATGCAGTTCGCATAATCGTCCTGTCAGGTCAGGTTTGCACACACAAGAAAAACTGCTGTTATGATCCAAACACGTTGCACCATTTTTGCATGGATTCGAATCGCACATCGTAGCGTTACACAGATTTCCTGTACAGGACGAGACTTGGAAGAAACGATTCACATTGAGTATCGTCAAGCATGTTACAAAAAGTCGAACCACTTCTTCACGACGGCCTGGAGTTTTGTCCAGCTGCCCGATCAACAATCTATATGTTCGTTACACCTTTTCACAAAATAAGCCTGTCGCTATATAAAAAAAAGACCTAGTTCAAAGCTATGTATTTCATAATATACAACTGCCGTATATTTTTGATAGTAGCTTCTCTCCAGTTACATGTACCCCTTCCCTACCATTTCTATTTATCTGCCACCTTTACTCCCTATCTGAAACATGTTTAATCATAAGCATCAGCTTAACACGTGAGACACATGGTTCATTTTTGCATCTCTGGAATAATCAAGACCTTGCAGTTTACTGTATTGCTTAACTCCATCAAACAATATGTAAAATCAAGTTCTTTTCTTACCTGCAGCAATGGCGTAAGTAGAAAATCCTGCTAGGAAAATTGTGGGAATCAGTATGGATGTGAAAAGTGTCATCTTCTTTATCGTCTAAAGAGCAGTAAGAACGGCTTAGATTTGCAATAAAGAAGACAGACTGAACCTAAAATGAAACTGAACCAAAGGTAATTCTCAAATAACGTCGTTACGAATTCACACAAGACCAACTAAAGACACCCCCTTGACCTCGCAGTGGAAGTCGTAACTTTTATCATAGACGAAGTCCCAGTGAAGAAAAGGATACCCGAAGCACGAAGATATCGTGTTATAAAACATGATGTCCTTCTAAATTGAGACTCGGTTCTTAATTTTCCCGACCTGACTAGTAATCAACACCATAAGTTTGTCGATTGTCACCGATTTCCGACAGCAGTCGAAAATCGTTTGTTAATTGATTATCGATTTACTGAGCAACTACGCCAGACAGAACCAAGAGGGTAAAGATAGACATCAACAACGGGACCATAACAAAGGAATTGTCTTGCAGTTGGCATGGTAAATTATATCTAGAGATTTTTCGAAATCTTGAGATCAGTGCGGACCGAGTGAAATCAGGTAAACAGAATGCCAGGAGATCGTCGCTTGATTGTACTGCATGAAATATCTTGCGTGCCTTTCCCTTTTAGCTGACTACAGTGCCATGTAAAGTTACTTGCTATTTCTGCGGATATACAGTTGTGTAGACTTGAAGGGCAATATCTTCGAAGACATAGTCAAGTACTGATGAACGCAAGATGTACTCGGTAGGTTATAAATAAAAATTACGATTATAGCTTAGCCATAACAGATGAAGCAAGACGTTTATAACTGAGCATACACATACCAGTTACAGTGGACGATCGTGGACGCTTAAAACGTAATCCAAGCTTCGGTTTCAGTGAAAATCTTCAGAAACGTGTGGGCTCTAGTCTTCCTTCAGCTCTTGTTTCGATGACGCGTTCAGCTGAATCCGGTCAAAGACTATCAGTTATCTGTCTGACACGTGCGTCACGCCATATCTTTGCTGTAACAATTTCAAACACCATGCTGTTGCAAACAGTCGGGTCGCTTGCTCATCCAAGATTAAGACGAGTTCCATGTTGAAAGCCAATTTCCCAAGTATGACAAATGCAACCTAGGAAGTTTTTTAGTGAAAAATGATGGATGAAAATCAAGAGAGAAGTTGCGAGATTCACTTAGACATTTGTATCTCATGAGGCATTAGCCCCTCGCCAGTTTGTGCCGTCTAGAATTTCTTTTATGTGCTGGGTTGTTTGTTTTAGGGTGATCAGTAATGGTTCCGTTTTCAACAACCTTCACCCAGGTCGGGTTAACAGGTCAGTTCCTTAAACAAATAATAAAAACATGATGTTTCATTTATATCAGCCTGCAAAACTGACTACGTCTTGAGTGGTAACTTGAAGTTTCGTCCCATGCCTAGAGTAATTTTTCAGTTGAACATTACTGCCAGATCCCGGCGAGGGAGAGGGGGGGAGGGGAGGATCTAAAAAAGAAACAGGATAACAACACACTTTTTCATATACCGGTAATTATCATTATTTCTGGTCAGTACCCAAACCAAAGGAAATACAGTTTTGAAACCGCGTTACAAAACCTTTTGATATGTTCTTGTTCTTGTTTTTTTTATGTTTTAGGCTTCATTTTTATCACATGCCGTGTCAACGTCTCATTTGAAAACAACTACTCAGCTTGTAAACCCAATGCACCTTTATTTCGATAAGAGATAGTGATTATACTTAACGTGACGCCCTTCATTTTAACGGTGAAAATAGTACATTCCTCCTGTGAAAACAGAGGATACCTTTATGTTAAGTGATAGCCTCAAAACAAGGTCACTATAAAATGTGTAGCTATAGCCAACGAGTATTACATTACATTTTAGGAAGTATCTAAGTTTCACAGAAATTACTGTTCACTAATCGTCTCCCGTAGAAGTTCACTTTAGACCTATCTATACAGATATTGAATAACTAACCTTTTAAAAAAGGTTTACAGTTGATAAAACTGTTATGTAGTATTTCACACGAGGTAAACTGAAAGAAAAACAGATGAAACAAGATCTCATAGCTATTTGATACACCATGGAAAAAAAAAAAACATTGAATCGAATATTAAAACAATTGTATATACCGCACGTGGTTGCCTACTAACATTACTAAACCTTTGGTCCTTTGGTACATGTAGGAACCGACTAGGGCGTTTTTAAGGCACAGACGTGTTAGAGAAGGACGTGAACCGGCAGTTGAACTTTCTCTTGTTTTGTCCGTATTATTAACTTTTCGTTAAAAATTTCAAGTTCTAAATGATAAGCTGAGAGTTTTCCATCTCACATGTGGAATGTGAATACGCGCCAACAGCAAGAACATAAACTTCCGATGTACCTAAACAGATGTTGAATAACTAATTTTAAGGTTTACAGTTGATGAAAGTAGTCACCACCTAAATTATTCAAAAATCCTAAAAAAATTCAAAAATCCTAATAAAAATTCAAAAAGGTTTTAAAAATGCCCACAACATTTGAAGTGGGATATAATTATATTTGTATTCAAACAATATCACCTGGGCATGTTGCGTGATAACTTTCTTAGAAAACATCAGTTGCCATTTAACTTAAACTGATCTAGGTTGAATTAGTTGTAGAACCTTAAAGCTTGTAACCTCGAAAATTCAACCGATGAAATGATTGTAAATCAATAATAAAAACTTAATTATTTTATTTCCCACTGAAAAAATCCAACCAGGTCATATTTTCAGAAATATGTTATACCGTAAACTGCCACTTATACAACTTCGTAAGGGGTTTTGTGGGGGCTTGGAAACGGAGGGGCTTATAAGTGGAATAAAAAAAAAACCGTTTCGAAACGAGTTACAGCAGTGTTAATCGAAATACTTTTTGCATATACGGGTTCTTAATTAAGCTTTAAAACATCGTAATAA